GAAGGGGGATGTGTGTGAGGAAACTATAGCTCTAAAATCTTGCAATAAAAATATTCTCTAATGATGAGAGAGGTGATGAGGTAAAAATCGTTAGTCAATGTACCCACTACTGCAGTGAGGCATTGCCTTACCGTCGTGCGTGTACAACAATGAGGTGTGCAGGGAAAAGTGGAATCATTGTCGTGAGGACCATGTGCTCACCTAAACTGTGTTGAATCATTTGGTTTCCTTTAGGCCTTTAGATGACTACTAGTCTAGCAAATCGGGCTATGTGGGCCAATCAGAACAATCATAATGTTCAATTCTAGACAATTGATATTTTTTATACCAATTAATTTAAAAGTTTTAAATGTAATTAAAATATATTTTTAATATTGGTAATGACAGTGGTTTACAAATGACATCATTTTCTAAATAACTTATTCATTATTGTAATAGCCCAAATTTTGAGTTATGACTGGCACACTGATTATCATCAAATAGCCTGACAAGCCTAACTATTGCAGTGATATATTTAACAATAATAACTCAAATCACAATGCATGTAAGGTTTATCAAATTTACAACATAACTTGCTTGTAGAAATAATATAGAACCTCTATAACATAATAACAATTTTAAGGTTCTTTATGATGTACCTTAGATGATCCGGGTACAAGTATCTCATTTTCAAAGTTGATATTGATTTTTTGTCATGGACAAATTGAAACATGTACTTGTCTTTAAGCATCTTTAATTTGTGTTTTTGTTTTCGGAAGAGAGGTGACAAAGCTAAAAAAAGTTAAGATGCGCGGTGCATTGTGGGATTCAATTCGTGCCTTTTGTTTTTCATATCTATTCATTAAGCTACTTAAGAAGTTCATTTTCTCTTTGGCACTTTTAATGTCAATAACAGTGTTTGGGGTTAGCAATGAAGTTTCTAGTACAAGGTGGATAGCAAAGTGTTAGTGATGCTATGCGAATTATTAAGAAAGTCTGAATATACTGAGAAATGTTGTTAAAAAGATTTTAATTTTATTCTAAGAGAAGCGTTATTCTTATAATGTAAAAGTTTTATAACCTCTTACAGCCTATTTTTTAACCGTTGATTTCCGTCAATCTAACGGTAATGATTTATCGGGTCACATTTATTATTAATTATTAATTTTCAATAAATTATAACCGTTGGATTAACGAAAATTAATGGTAAAAAAATAAGTTGTGAGAATAAAGCTCCTATTATTCTAAAATTTTATCAAGGACTTTAATTTTGTTTTTATAATTATTTCGGAATCTTAATTTAAAAAATGTTTTAACTATTAATTAACTGGGAAAAGAATTAATTAAATATTGAATTAGTTAAAATGTTTTAAAAAATGTTTCTAAAAGGATCAAAAACACTATACAAGGATGGTGGAGACAGAGGGAGCCGTGAGGATCTCATCAATGAACTAATCAATAAAATGAATTAACTTATGTACTCTAGTATCAAAATTTTGATGTTGTCTGTTATGTACCTTAGAAGATCTGGGTGCAAGAATCTCATTTTCAAAGATACCGATTTTGTTATGGACAAACCGAAACATGTACTTGTCTTTAAGCCCTCATTTATCTTTAATTTTTGTTTTTGTTTTTTTGGTTTTATGGAAGAGAGGAGTCAAGGCCCTCATTTATCTTGTGGGGGTGCATTGTGGAATTCGAGTTGTGCCTCATGTCTTTCGTATCTATTGATTAAGCTAAGCTACTTTAAGAAGCTTATTTTCCGTTTTGCATTTTTAATGTCAAGAACGGTGTTTGCAGCAATGTTATTAAAATCGGTCCGGTCATTGACCCGGTCGAGGTACTGGGTCACTGGTTCAACCGCATGACCCGGTAATTATATGCAATTTTATAATTTATATTAAAAAATTATAAACATACTCAAATATCTAAAAAAATGATAAAAATTTCGAATGTTTTAATATAAAAAATAATAAATTACATATTATTATCCAATAAAAGATCAAACAAAAATATAATGATTGTCATACGGGACTTTAGGTTCAGAAAATGACATCGCTAACTATAAATCAAATCAAAATTCTCTGCATAGTGCACGATTGAGATAATATTAGTGTTGTAGGTATATAACTTATGTAAGTCAATAAGCAAAAAAAATTCAAATATGTTCATTATGATTTATTTTTTTTGAAAAAAAAAACAATTTTTTTTTTGGGACGGGCTGGGTCACCGGTTAACCGACCGGGTCGCACCGGTTCTAATGCATGGCCGGTCTGTTGCTTCAACCGGATCGGTTCTATGACTGGTTTACCAAATCCCGGGTCGACCCGGCCGGGTCGGTCCGAGTTTCTTAACAGTGGTTTGGAGTCAGCAATGATGTTTTTCAAGGTGGACAGCAAAGTGTTAGTGATGATATGCCAATTATTAAGAAAGTCTGAATATATTTAGATGTGTTGTTAAAAGGATTTTTGTTTTATTTTTAAATCTAATTAAGCACTTTAACTTTGTTCTTATAATTAATTAGGAATCTTAATTTAAAAAAATGTTTAAACTATTAATTAATTGGGATAAAAATTAGTTAAATATTATCTTTTCAATAATTTTTATTGATTACTATATTTGAATAGAGTTGAGTGTTTTAATTGGTTATAACAAAAGTTTATTCCCTAAATTTAATGATGAAATTATAAAGAAAATTTGCGGTAGATAACTAAATAATTCCATCAAAGAATAAAATTAGGGGTGGTGAGTTGATAACAATGTTGAGGTGTGGTTATTCACTGGTTGATGATTTTGTTTTAAATTAATTGGTAAAAAATAATTGAATGCTACAATTTTGTTCTTGAGCTTTAATAAATTTTAAGAAAAACTATGTAACAAAAAAAAAGTTTAAGAACAAATTATCGATGAGATTAAACAATTAGATAACACTTGTAACATTTTTTTATTTTTGGTAGATTACACTTTAACATTTTAAAAAATGTAAATAAATAATAGGCTACATCATATATATATATATATATATATATATATATATATATATATATATATATATAGCCTATTATTTATATTTTTTAAAATGTATATATATATATATATATATATATATATATATATATATAAATAAATAAATTTATAAATAAATTTGTAAACAGCTCCTTCCATATATATATATATATAAATAAATAAATAAATAAATAATAGGCTACATCATATATTTTTATTGCATGGGGTATTGTTGTACAACAGCTTTTATTACATAAGTTATTGTTGTATAACAGCTACTCTGTAGGATAAAAATTTGGGTTATTTCGTATCTCAGGCAACCACGTTGTAAGTTTTTTGTTGGAGGTAAAAGATAGTAATTCAACTTTTTGTTGTACTATATAGAAAATTAGATTATCGTTTACTTGTGCTTCTAGATTACACAATAACCAACATACAATCTTTACAAAGGCAATACATACAAAAGTTATATTATTTGCACAATAATTATCGTACAAATTTTAGGCTTTTCAAAAAATCAAAAAACAGATCAAATTCAAACCGAATAAAATTGGATTGGATTGGATCGAATTTGAAAAAAATCCAAACCGAATGGATGATTAAATGATCAAACCGAAGAGATTGGATCGGATGATTTTTGCTTGCAAAGCTGATCCAATCCAGATCGCGAACACCTCTAATATTTAACATTTTTTTAAAATATTCAATACAAAATATTAATTATTCATAATTTAATTTTTTTAATAAAATAATATTTGCATACAAATATACAATGTAAGCAAAAACTTAATCATTTTTCCAATAACCTTTTTTTTTGGAAATATTTCAATCGATTCATCGCTTCGCAACTAATCCGATTCGGGCCGGGTCCAGTATTAAGGCTTTAAACCCCTCCCAAAGGTAGTACTGGGGGAATTCGAACACATGCTCTCACCCCACATGCTCAGCTCCCATGCGCCAACTGAGCTACCATCATTTGGTTTTTTTCCAATAACCTTGAACCGTTGTTTTTATATAAAAAACATAGAACTCCTCACTTTTGATTATTTTCTTGAATAAAGATATTTTCATTCATTAATACTTACCATCGAGATTTTTATTAATTATAATATTTTCAATACATGTGAAAATTTTAACGGATTAATTTTCTTAGTAAAAATTAAAATTCAACAAGATTTTTATAGCACTCTCAATTGTTTTGTTGCCTCAAATCAAGTAATACATAAATTTTAAATAAGTTTCATAAATTTTCTTACTACAGTTTCAGTTTTACTCTTTTAATATTTAAAAAAATGTAAAGAGATGTTTATAACTATCGAAGTGATGTAGAAATTTTAAAAGATTAGATATAATTATATAATTAATAAATATGTAATTGAAAACTTAATTAAAGTATAAAAATTTTAGAAACAAAAAAATTATAACGAAAAAACTAGGGAATGAATTCTCTCACGTGGAAGAGTGATCATGTTATTTGATCACAACCACTCATTTGAAAATTATACATTTTTCTCCTTCTTATTTCATTCATCAAATAACATAACCACTTCTTTTGCACGTGAGACTATCTATTCCAAAAAAAAAAAAAAAAAAAAACTAAAATATACAGAGCACCGTCCACCAAAACTATAAACGACAAGTCCTGTTTCATGGTTACTCAAAGATACAGACACCCTCCTCCAATCCTGTTTTCTCAGTTGAGCGCTCGTTCTGGTTTCTTACCTTCTGCTCCTTCGAACTCTAGAGACAGTTGAGCGCCTCTAGAGTATGACAACAAAATAGAAATTGTGCTTTCATCAAAAGGCTTGTATGAACATACGGTGGCGATTGTCCATCCTAGCCCCTCTCTTGTTCCACAACTGAGAAGGTGAGATAAGCAAGAGAGGGGAAGAAGAAATGATAGCACAATAAGGAAGTGCAAGAAATGGAAGAACGATGTGAGCAGAAGCGCCAAAGGCAGTGAAACAGCAGGACAAAAGGATTGCTAGAATTGGGAGGTGGAGAGGAAAGGGAAAATGTGGAAAAAAGAGGAGGTGAAGCAAGAATGGATGGAGGTGGAGGAGATGGATGTGGTTGATGCTGAGTATGGAAAATGGAACTCGTTAGAGAGCACATCCTTTGAAATATAGAGCCATCCATTAGAGGAGAGAGATTTTTCCCCTTTATGATATGCCAAGTAGCCTAGGAAGGTGCACTTAATGGATCTAAAATTCCCTTCAGATTATAAGGATGCAAGAGCAGGAAATTGACGCAGCCAAATACCTTCAACAAACTATAATTTGGGATTTATTGAACAAACGAAAAGGGAACATCATTATCATTGGATGCAGTAGCAAACAATTGATTTAAGTAAACAGAAGTGAGGAATGCATGATCCTAGAAGGTAAATGGTAAGGATGCATGTGCTAGAAGTGTTATACCCACCTCTACAATATGCCTATGCTTACATTCTATAGTGCCATTTTGGTGATGAGTGTAAGGGAAAATTAGGCGGTGAACAATACCAAAGTCAGCTAGGGCCTTGGAAAATGGCCTAAACTCCCTACCTTAATCAGTTTGGATAGCCTTTATTTTCTTGGTAAGATAAAGCCAAGTGTATGGTGTGCGAGCATCAACGAACATAACCTAGTAGGAGTAGCCACCAGAAGAAACCATGGGTGCATGGCCCCAAAGATGACTAAAGATTCTGTGTACTGATTCAGTGTATGTAGATGAGGCAGAAGAAAGTAAGCAATGAGCTTTACCTAAACAGCGTGCAGAACAAAATCTGCAAGAGTTTTATTATTGAATGCTGCCTGAATGGTAGAATACTGAGTTCGAAAACAGGCTTAACAACCTTAGAAAGGGGAGTGGGATGCAGTTACAGTTAGAGGGGTGTGCAAAATAACCAAAAAATTGGGTCGAACTATGAACCGAACCGAACCGTCCCATAATATAACCGGTTTTTAAAAACAAGTTTATGAACCGAACCAGTTTTTAAAGAACCGGTTCATGAACCGAACCAGTTTTTAGAACCGGTTTAAGAACCGAACCGGTTTTTAGAACCGGTTTAATAACCGAACCGTTTCCTAACCGAACCGAACCATTTTCAAGCCGAACCAAGTTAATTTTTATAACTTTATTTTTTAAATTTTAAATTTTTTTTATTTTCAAAAGAGGGTCGACCCGAACCGGTTTCGAACCGGTTTCGAACCACTTCCGAACCGAACCAGTTTTGAACCGAATCAAACCACTTTTGAACCAAATCATTTAAACCAATTCGGTTCGGTTTTTCAAAAAATCCGGTTCGGTTCGACCCATGGACATCCCTAGTTACAGTAGGTGTGTGATGATGAGAATGAGATACACTATGTACCCATTGGGTGTCCTAATCTACATTGGCAGGGTAACAAGACAGTTGTTATTACAGATATGATAATCTCACTGACTGTTACTACTTTCACTGAGAGTTACTTCTTGATGTACACATGTAGTTTAATGTCTGACACATCCCAACATATAACAATGTATTTCTATGCTTCTCAGTTCTCACACACAATATGAACTGCATGCTACCAATATGAATGCTTTCGGTGAAGTATTCGTCATTTGGTGGAATAGGACTGCCCTTTTGTAAAACCTTGTTTTGCTATTTTCTTGTATCTTTATTTTCCAGTGTATATTGCATTCCAAAAAAAAAAAAAAAAAAAAGACAAAGAAATCCTTTATCACGTGCTAAAGATTATTCTAATTTGGTGAAAACATGTTTCTTTTGAAGAAATCCAAATCTTAAAAGCATAAAGGAGCTAATTTACAAGAAGGGATATGCGAAAATAGATAAGCGAAAAGTTCCTTTGACGGATAATAACATCATTGAGCAGGTAATATATTGTATTGTTGGATTCCTTGTTTTCCTTTGACTTTGCCGCTAAATTGCATTTGTAATTCTCCCATTTTGCCATGCAGGAGGAATTAGGAAAGTTTGGCATTGTATGCACAGAAGACATGGTGCATCAAATTGATAATGTTGGTCCGCACTTTAAGGAAGTTGTCAAATTTATGTGGCCCTTTGAACTCAACAAGCCAGCTGATGGATTAAAAGGATCAAAAACACTATACAAGGATGGTGGAGACACAGGGAGCCGTGAGGATCTCATCAATGAACTAATCAATAGAATGAATTAACTTATGCACTGTAGTATCAAAATTTTGATGTTGTCTGTTATGTACCTTAGATGATCTGGGTGCAAGAATCTCATTTTCAAGGCCTTTTGACTCTAGTGGAGTCTTTTTTAAAAACTATCACCGGAATAATTTCACTGTGAAAAGATATACCACAACAATGCATTACGACGCGGCATAGTGCAGATCATGTTGAGAAATGATAGTATATCTGCCGCGTTCTTTGCATGAATGGGGACCAATCACGGGTTGGTGGGGAGAATATTGCAGTCTGCTACCAACGCAGGGCAGTGCAACCTGAACGTGATCCATGCTCCACCGCGTCCCAGCAGTCAAAATATATGGTTTTAATATGTCATATGAACATAAGAATATATATGTTTGACGTAAAGGTACATAAAAACTAAATTTTATCCAATTAAATATAAAAAAGACATAAAGTTTAATAATTTTAATACCAATTAAATATACAACAGTAATAAAGTTTAATAATAGTAATACCAATTAAATATACAACAGTAATAAAGTTTAATAATATTAATATAGCATATTTAACAAATTTAATAGATTAAATAATACTAATATTACAAGCTTTTTATGAAATTAAATATTAAATAGTAATAGTATAAATAATATCAAATTATAAAATCTAAATACACTAACCTAACTTTTAACGCTAACAAATATCGAAACTCAAAAAACAACATAAATAAGACCACTAACCTAATATATTTAATAATACATTTATATCATATTTAACTGCCATACCAATAATAATAACAGCTTACGCATTTACATTCAATCATAATAACATCTTATTTAATTAAATACAATCATAATCGTATTTTGTATAAGCTGGCCAGAAAACAAAAACAAAACCTGGAAAGAATCTTATTTAATTTAATTAAATACAATCACAATCATAATCTTATTTAACACCTAATATTTTGAAATAATATTTTTGTGGGTTATGGATATCCATATAATTATATTATTTATAACAGTGATAATAATTTTTTTTTAAGTTTTTGCAGAAAAAATTCAAATATTTAATATGATTTATGTTTCGTTAATGATAGTCTATAATTACTTGAATATTATAGTTATTCATAAAATAATATGATTATTACGAAAATATTCCAAATTTTCAAATGAATTTTTTACAATACATTTAATATTTTTGAATTTATATCGGTTGTGCCAGACCAATTGAAATTATTTGTGGTTTTAAATTATAACTAATTGAAGTATGATGTTTTCAACTGACCGAATCATTTCAATTATTTTTAAAATATGGGTTCATTCTTTTTTTCATATAAGTTACCTGCAGTAAAATCAATACGACATCATTTTGGGTGAAAATTATGATGTTTTTGTCATTTTAATTTTGTCTTTATATTTATAATTTTTTAATCTTTCAATCCCAAAACGACGTCGTTTTGAAAATAAATACAAATAATTTATGCGCAGTAATTTTTATTAAAATATTTTCCAAAATAAAAAAAAAGTTTTCAATTTGGTAATGAATTAAGATGAAGTTGGTGCCATGATGTAATTGCTTACATCACATTTCTACATGGAATTGAATAATATACTAGAATCCAAAAGGATACGAGAAAACAATGCTTGGCTGACTTTAGCCATGACACACGGGAACTCTAATATTGATTACGTTTCAACTTAGAAGGTCGTAGAACTTGGCCAGTAGCTTTCTGTCCATAAAAAAAATACAAAAAAAATAAAAAATCCGAGAAGATGCCGGGGCTAACAGCTCCAAAGATTTTTTTTATATTTACAGGGATTGGAAAACAAAATTTTACTTAAACTGAATCAACTGCCACTCGAATAAATTCTCTTTGTGCTGGGACGCGGTGCAGCAGGGATCACGTTCAGGTTGCACTGGTACGCGGCTCTCTTCCTACCGCTTCCAGTTGCATTTATTGCACTGCCCTGCGTTGGTAGCAGACTGCAATATTCTCCCCACCAACCCGTGATTGGTCCCCATTCATGCAAAGAACGCGGCAGATATACTATCATTTCTCAACATGATCTGCACTATGCCGCGTCGTAATGCATTGTTGTGGTATATCTTTTCACCGTGAAATTATTCCGGTGATAGTTTTTAAAAAAGACTCTACTAGAGTCAAAAGGCCCATTTTCAAAGATACCGATTTTTGTTATGGACAAACCGAAACATGTACATGTCTTTAAGCCCTCATTTATCTTTAATTTTTGTTTTTGTTTTTTGGTTTTTTGTTCTTCGAGTTGTGCCTCATGTCTTTCGTGTCTATTGATTAAGCTACTTTAAGAAGATTATTTTCCGTTTTGCATTTTTAATGTCAAGAACGGTGTTTGGAGTCAGCAATGATGTTTTTCAAGGTGGACAGCAAAGTGTTAGTGATGATATGCCAATTATTAAGAAAGTCTAAGTATATTTAGATGTGTTGTAAAAAGGATTTTTATTTTATTTTTAAATCTAATTAAGCACTTTAACTCTGTTCTTATAATTAATTAGGAATCTTAATTTAAAAAAAATGTTTAAACTATTAATTAATTGGGATAAAAATTAGTTAAATGTTATCTTTTCAATAATTTTTATTGATAACTATATTTGAATAGAGTTGAGTGTTTTAATTGGTTATAACAAAAGTTTATCCCCTAAATTTAATGATGAAATTATGAAGAAAATTTGCGGTAGATAACTAAATAATTTCATCAAAGAATAAAATTAGGGGTGGTGAGTTGATAACAATGCTGACAGGTGAAGTGTGGTTATTCACTGGATAGCTTTCATTTGCTTTAGTTTTTGTGTGTGAATTTTATTTTTAACTTCTCTTAAGTTTATATATAAAAATTTGTCAAACAATTAAAAAATTCTAACATGAATTTATATAATTATTTTCGTACATTAAAAATTAAATCAATTTAAATAGATATACATTACTTATAAGTTAAATTTTTTTTTTAATGAAGTGATATTTGCACACAAATATACAAGTGAGATATAAAATAAATATATATATTTATTTATATATATATAAAAAATAGCCCTCACAATTATTTTAATTTTTCGTACTAAAAATTAAATCAATAATACTATAATTTTATAATTTAAGTTTTTTTTTAATGAAGTGATATTTGCACACAAATATACAAGTGAGATATAAGCAAAATTTAAATCATTTTTCTATTTATACTTGAACAAAGATTATAAAAAAAATAGATTACACTTTTTATAAAATGATATTTAAGTTAATACTTAAAAGATTTTTTATAATCAGTAATTTTATATATATAATAAATTTATATTTAATATATATATATATTTTGTTGCTACAAAAAAATACTTAATTTTAAATAAGTTTGCATAGCTTTTTTTTACTTTTTTACAGTTAACATTTTTTTTATAATTGGTTACATATTAGTAGAGATTTTAAAAGATTAGATATATTTTTTTTATAATTAATAAATATCTAATTGAAAACTTAATTAAAGTATAAAAAATTTAGAAACAAAAAATTTATAACGAAAAAACTAAAAGATATAGTTTCCTGGTTACATATTAAAGATACAGAGCACAAGATTACAAAAAAAAAAAAAAAAAAGATTACATTTGTAACTATTGAAGTGATGTAGAGATTTTAAAAGATTAGATATAATTTTATAATTAATAAATACTTTTAAAAGATTAGATTTAAAAAGATTTAAAAGATTACATTTATAACGGTTTAATTCTCTCCATTGTTTCCTCGTTATATAAACATACAGAGCACCGTCCACCGAGCACCGTTCACCCTTAGCAGACCAAATCCTGTTTCCTGGTTAACACCCTCCACCAATCCTGTTTTCTTTTTTCTTGTGTTTTCCACTCAAACTCTCTTCAATGGCTGAATCCCAAAAGTCACTTGTGATTAAGCTTGGTGCAAAGCGTTCAAGAACGGTTCAAGAAGACTGCCCACAGACAGAGATCATCGCTGATCATCGTTCCAAGAAAATGAGAAAAGATGCTTTTGAAATTTCTCCGCCACTGAGAATGAACAGAACGACGGCTGAACATGAACACCGACCAACAAAGTGCAGAGTGCAAAGTGCAAGAGAAGGAAGGTGCTTCGGACTGGAAAACTCCAAAAGAATGTCAAGAGCAGCTTCCCAAGTTTGTGAGTTGAAGAAGGAAGGTGCAGAGTGCAAGAAAGAGAAGAAACAAAGCATAGACAGATACAAAAAAATGCAATGTTGGGTGATCTTGAAAAGGTTGAAGGAAGGAAGAGATGCTTGGGCTTTCAAAGAAGCTCTTGATGTTAAGGTCTTGGAGTTTCTTGATAACCCTGAATCTGTATCAAAGCCAATAGGTTTGAAGGATATTGAGGTCAAATTGAACCACTATCTGTATTCCAAACCTAAGGAATTTGCAGATGATATGAGGCTTGCAATTTCTTATGCATTGCTATACCCTTGGAGGAGTGAGATTCACATGATTGCAAGGAGGGTTAGTGAGAAATTTGAGACCGATTGGAAATCTTTAAAGAAAAAGTGGATTCTTGAGGAAAGAA